AGGGGCGGGAGCCGGGGGTCAATGGGCGGGGACGGGGGTCTGGGGGTCAAACCTCAACCCCGGCTCGGCCCCATGGGATCCCTGCGTGACAGCCATGGTAGCGACCCACTTTCATTTGCGAATATTTGGCTTCATGTGAAGGAGTCGTTATTCAGACTGTGAACCACTGGGCAATCCCATTTCACTCTGATTTCGGTAACTGATTTGAGCCGGGTCTACGGGCCCAGGTGGTTGCAGGTGGTGTTGTGCAGACATCTGTTGACGTGGAACGTTACGTCAGATGCACGTTGTTGGCAGCTAGTGTGCCAGTTCAAAAGGTGTGTGTGGCTTTTTCCTGACAAGCATCTTTCTTTTTCTAGGACCTAGATAGCATTCCATGCAGGTCATTATACTGTTTTGCATTCTGTTCCCCGGAAGACCGAAGGCTGAGCAGAACAATTGACATTTATGTAAGAGAATTGTTCTCTTTTCCAAGGTTGGAATAACTTGCGGAACGTTGTTTTATGACGTCTCTTCCTTTTTGGCAGGTTAGCTCCGACCGTGCAGCTGCCTTTCTGGTTGATTGCAATTATTTGGATGTCCTTTCTTGAGGTTGCTAGTGTGATCAATATTTAGTATTATTTACCAAGCTGTTGTTTTTTGTTGCGGAAGTCCAAATCAGAGAGGGAAAAACAAACGTCCTGATTAGTTTCTCCCAACTTTCTGGGCAAAGGATCAGAGACAGAAACTGATTGTGTTTTTTTTTTTTAAATACAAAAACTGATTGTTGGTCGTGCTTGCTCTGAACTTCGAATCTGTGGACGATTGCCGACTCTCAGGTGGTGGCATCGGCACAAGCAGCGTTGAAGTGGCTTTGTTTAGAGAACCTGATTACCTGGGACACATCCACTCGACAATATGTAGTGACACCCCTCGGGAAAGCTGCATTCGGGAGTTCCATGGCACCAGATGAGTCATTGGTACGTATTGCACCTTCAAGACATGGTAAATAAACAACTTACCGTGCTCCTATTCTGGGGTTAAGTATTCATCCTAAGCCTGTGAGCACTAAAATATTTTGCTTTCCAATTGGCATGCATGTCTGGTCTTCCCATACATTTGCAGGCTTATTCCTGCGCGGTAGTGTCTGCATAAGTCAGACTTTTTCCCTGATTGCCCTGGTGATGGCCTCACCCAAGCGTTGGGAGTGTCAATAGGGCCCACTTCACGTCAAGCGTGTAGGGTTTCTACGATCCATGTAGATCTATCAATGTGTTGGTATCCTAGGGGCAGGACCAAGTGCTGCTATGTTTATTCTAAGAGATCACAAGTCTGGCCATGTGCAGGGCCAGGTTCATGCTTTCTTAGCAGGAACATGCATTTTTGGGTCATAAGGAAGGTAACGACTGGATCAACTATGAAACCTTTTCCGATTGGACGTAAGTGGAAGCAGGGTCGTGCTGTACATTCACCCGACACTAGCCACACCATGATTACCACGTGAAAGCTCCGGGCTCCGGCGATGCACTGACTGGAGCTATATGGGTGAATGCATCCAGATTTGAGATCTCGTAGTTGAGAGCAGTGGTGTCTTACTCGGCACGAGCCAAGACCCACTTTCAGCTTTGAGTAGTAGATTACTCTTGTTGGTTTGGTGGAGCGGGATACTGAAGCGGATTCTTCATCAAGAGACTTCAACATTGTTGATAGTTTGTGCATATTTGGTCTCTGCTTTGTCGATTCTGCTCATTGCTTTGTCGTTGAGAGATGGCTGATCTATGTGAGTGCAAGCTGCTTGGGATTTGATTTTCTTCTTCACTGTATCCTTTATCAGGAGAATCTGAAAATCCGGTTAGTTTTGCCATCGATTGGTGGCCATCGACCAGCTGGCTGTCCACCTGCCAACCGTCCTACCTGTCGGTTCCGACTGCTACACACTCTGTTGGCCCCTGCAAAAGAAAAAAACACACACACACCCCAACCACCCCCCAACAACCTCCCCCCTAACACGTTATACGCCCCAAACGCCCCCGCAAACACCCCCCAACCACTCCCCAACAACCCCCCAAACGCCCTCCAACTACCCCTACCCCCCTTAACCACCCCCAAACTAGAACACGGAAATGCGAATTTTATTGTGGATTCAGGCTGTTCTCTGCAACCACAGAACAGCACACTAGTCAGGAAAAAAAAAGAAAAAACAGTGGATGGCCCTCTTCTGCTTGTTGGCCGACTGTTGACTGGTCGGCCCAGCCAGTCGGCTGCGGAACCGTCGCCAGTCGGCAGCCTGGCAACCCTGCCTAAAATGTTATATGAGTTGAAGTTTCTGAGACATTTTATCCATGGATGCCTTTCTCTGAGACTGATTATTTGTGTGATCTGCAGACTGTTTTCAAGGACCTTGGTAAAGCTCGTCAAGCTTTTGTTCTGGCCAACGATTTGCATATTCTATATCAGGTAAGTCGTGGCCTTGTGGAATCGGAATGGTCCAGTTGAGGGTAGAGAATGTGGCCTCCTGATGAGGTCATGTTGAGGGGATAAACCTGAAAGGTGCCCATCTGCAGTCATAGAGAATTGTCATTGCATATGTTTTCATTCAAAATGAGGTGTAATGTGTGTCAGTGTCATATTAGTAATTTAGTACGCTATTGATCATATTATATGATTACGAGTGCACATTTCATATCCTCTTCTACTTCCTTCTTTGCCCCCTGTTCTTAAGGAATAAATGTAACTTGTTAAGGCAATTATTAGTAAGAAATTGCTCATTAGGTGCCAAATGACTCTCTTTCATCCCTTTTAGCTGAAAATGACAGAGGCAAAACATCAAAAGGAGGGTTGTGGGAGGCGACCTTGGCATCTGTAGACATCAAGTTTTGACGAGTAATTGGAAAGCTATATTCTGCATCCTGACAAGACACAGCAGAATTGTGCAACTTTGTACCAGGGGGCCCAATCACAGGGGAAAAAGTTCCCAAACCAAATTGTGCAACTTGTACCAGCGAGCCCAATTACAGGGAAAAAAGGTCCCAAACCAAAATTGTGCAACTTGTACCAGCGGACCGAATCGCAGGGGGAAAAGTTCCAAGAGAAAGGTGACCCCTGCACATAATTCGTAATGCGGGCAACGTGAGTGCAACTACATGGAATAAACTTATCCAATTTCAGAATGCCATAACATATTATCTGGTCCTCAAGTCTTAGGTGGCTTCTGCTTACGTTCCTTTGTTTTCACCTATTGAATTGTACTGATGCTACTACAAAAACTGTGCCACCATCCAAGATGGCGGCCTGACTTTCTGCCTGCCTCTTCTCTCTTCCACTTCTCGTGGGCTTCTCACTTTTGGTTGGATTTGTCAACAAAACCTCGGGGTCGAAGCGGCATCTCCCGACTTCACAGCGTTCAAGACCAGATGATGCTCCATTTTCATCACCATGCTTCTCCCTGCCTCGTACTAGCATTGCCTCCTTTAGTCCTTGGAATTTTCCGGTGCCTCTCTGCGCTGGATATGAGCACTGGGCACTCCCAGCAGTGCAGCTGTCAGCCATTTCTCCCGTCCAAACCCATGAGGACACCATCATTCTCTGCGTCAGTAGCACGCTGTCCAGTAGCATTATAAGGGCCAGTAGCACGCTGCGCAGTAAGAGGTCAAGCTGTGATGTCACATCCACAGTGAATCACATGAAAATAAAAGATTTGGTGCCTGTTTGTACATGGCACCGGCCGATTTGCTTGAACACTGCTGTTTCCAGAGGAATGATATGGATGATTTTGTCACTGAACACCAGCTGTCGAAGGGTATATAGGGCGTAACGGGATCAGTATACGATGCACCACATACGGAATTACCTGCATGTCACGAGCACTCCCACCTGTGGTCAAGAAGATAATCAAAAGTGTATTTGCACTTTAACCCAGGTTACTTGACTGGTCTAGATGACTCACATACTCTGCATGTCGCCTTAGGAAACAGTGGCTCTCATAGTGTTATGATCCTACTCCATCCACAGTGCAAAACTCAAATTGCGAGAAATGCAAGGCTTGCCAAAATTCAAATGACGAGATTGAGAGAGATAGATTTGATTAGAGAATAAAGAAGCAAAGAAGAAGAAGAATTCTGAATTATACAAGTTACACCAATGTCTTCCCCCTCCTTCATCCCTCTTCTTCTTCTTTACTCTTCCTCTTATTAATGAGTTGAATGCAACAAATGAATGATTGAACAGTAATCATGTCCGAGTGTTCCCCCTTACTGCCACCAACTTAAGAAACCACCTTTCAGCCTTAACATCACTTCTCTCCTCTCCGTAGCATCTATGGCTAGGGCGGAACATCAATACTCATTACAGATGTTCAGAGGACAACGCAAACACTAATATGCTAGTCCCATCCCTTCACGCCATAGCCACAATCTCGGAAGATGTCCAAGACCGACCAGGACCCACACTGGGGCCTTTTTGATGCAGCGTCAACCCCAAGGAAGAGAAGACGGAGATCAACCACAGCCAAGGTGAATCTCTCTGTGTTGGTTCCTCTCTCTCTCCCTCTTCCTCACTGTCCTCATCCCTTCTACTGCCCTTCTTCCTTCTCTGGCTATGGGGTACTTCACCATCTTCCACCATAGCCAGGACTCCGCCCTGCTCCTACTTCTCCTTCATAGCCGCCCTCCAGCTCCCCAGCTCCTCTGGCACTCCCCCCAGCTTTCCCCTCTGGGCGGAGCAGCCGCATGACTGCCGGGTAAGATACCGCTCCACTCATTCTGCCCAAATGATATACGTGCTACTGCGGCCTCTCAGCTTCACGTAGGCTGAGATACTGCATCTACGGCTGCCTCTTCGGGGCACCAGGCCTACCTGAAATTCCTGCCTTCTGGTGGGAACACTATTGCAGCCTGTAAGTCTACCTCAGGGCCTGAATCTACCCTTACTGGATAACTAGGTAGAGGCCTGACGTTTTCGCAAGCTAGTGGGCGCGTGCTACAGGCAAATGCTTGGTCCCTGTCTGTCGTAGCCTCTACTGGGCGTCCGTCCCGTCCCAATTTCAGTCTTGCCCCTGTGGTTTCCTTATTCTAGCTCTACACAGAAAAGACAGAACAAGCACACAGTTAGTACTCCGCATAGCAATCATCACACGGGGACATACACACATGCACACACACGGCACATTCATGCAGTTCACAGAATGTCAGCAAATCAGTTCATCAAGCAGCAATACTCAGAAAACACCAGAAATCTCAGCCTGATTCTGTGCGGGTCATTGCAATAGCCATTTTCCTCCTCTTTTTCAGGGAATTGGGACCATTTCTTGATTTATGGGTGTCATCCTTACGCACCTGGAGCCCTCATAGTCAGTTTCCCATCTTTTCATAAATTCCTTTTTTGATTCGACTTTTAGAGAGAACCAACCCAGCCTGGACAGATTATTAAAGCATTTTGATGGATAAATGTGGAGATCAATTACATTCAAGGATGCAAAATAAGAAAGTTCTGCCTCATACCCAACCTTGCAAATACGTATCCAAGGCAACAACTCTGCACACGAGATAACCGTTGTCACTATCTTTACTAATTTCCCTATGAGGTGGAGGAGGACATGGAAGGGGGTCTCTGTGGGCCATGTGCTGGCTCAGCTTTGCTATCAATTTCCACCTTATCAGGTCATGCATGGCTTAACTGAGTTGTCTATTCCCGATACTTGTGTTTTCTGTCTTTGATGCTGGTAATCTTGTGCAGTTGACGCCTATAAACGTTACTATTGAACCTGATTGGCGAGTGTTCCTGGACCGGTACATGAAACTTGATCCCTTGGAGGAGAATGTTGCCACTTATGTTGGTGTCGACAAGCGTCTTATCCTCAAGGTATGTTCACAAGTTCTACGCCCGTATCTTCAATGGAGGTTGTGAGGAATGTATGCCCTAGCAATGAGATAATAACACAGGACCCCGCACCCCCCCACTGCCTCTCCTTCCCCTCCTCCTCCTTTGTCTTCTCATCTTCCTCTTCCTTCCTCTTCTTAGCCTTCTCCTCCTCCGGCTTGTTGTTGTTGTTGTTGTTATCACTGTTGAGCAAAGGCAATGACGATCACTGGCCTTACCTCTTGGTCTGATGGAGGGTTCCGGGTCGCATAATTTGTGCAACGAAACATGAGTCTAAGTGCCTTGGAATTGAGTCCAGGGTCGTGTATCTGACTCTGAGTCTGAGTCCGATTTTTGGGGTCAGAAGTCACTGTCCAGGGCCAGAAGTCATCTGAGGCACCCCCCAAGTCAAACGGAGTGAGATATGGGGGCTCAGAAAACCCCGTAGTAGAGGATAGAACCCCAAAAAGTCACCCGAGACCTGAGGAAAGTCAACAGTCATGCCCAACCCGGGCACAATAGAAAAGAGTCGAAAGATTTTTGCAGGAGGCAAATGTGGCCACAGATCACACACCATCCAACGGCTAAGTGCAGTTTCCATAAGCTTCCAGACTCACTGGGAACAGGCACACATGGACCGCTTGGCTTCACAGATCAAGAAATCTTTAGGAGGCAACCTGAGGCAGGCAGACCGAGTCAACATTATAAAAGATGCCTCTGCCCCAGTTTGGGGATTTATTCTGACTGGGCGAGTTGATGCTGGAGCTTGTGTGCTGGAGGAGTCTACCTTGTGCCAGGCAGAAGTAGGGCAGTCACAGCACCAAAAAAAAGAAAAACCATTCTGGAAAACCCCAATTGGCCTAGCTCAGTTGGTACACCTGATGGAACCAGATGAGTTAGACAATATTTCTGAATTACATGGGACTGGCCAGCTCAATGAAGATGTCTCAAGGCCGTCGCCCTTTTTGAAAGGAAAAAAAAACATTCTGGAAAAGAAACGTTATGTATGATTGCAATGCAAACACCATTGGCTGAGGTCACCTCAGAATTCCTTATTGGTTCGAAGTTAAAAAAAAAAAAAAAAAAAAAAAAAAAAACTAGGCTGGGCCGACGTCCGCCCGGCTGAGCCGGGCGTCGCAAAAACATAGCAAGGATTTTTTATTTT